CTCGCCCCCCGGCCGCGCAGCGCTCACCCCGCGCCTCTCTCTTCCCTCTGCCCCCGCAGGAGGCTACGAAGCTTTCTCGTCCGCCTGCTCCGAGCTCTGCACCAAGCCGGCCGCCCCCACCGGCCTCAGCCTGCCCCTGAGCGCCAGCAGCGCGCCCGGCAGCGCCGACTCGGGGTGCAGCTCCTGCGGCACCCCCCTCTACGACCAGGTGAGCGGGGACGGGCCAGGGGCGGGATGTGTGCGAGGTCTGGGAGCCCGCGAGCGTTAAGGCAGAGGAGTCGGCCGCTTTTACGCGGCGAGAGGGAGGGAGGCTGTTGGGAAACTGCTGGGCGAAGTTAACCGCTCGTCTGTCCTTTCTGTTCTAGGGTGGGCCGGTGGAAATCCTGCCGTTCCTCTACTTGGGCAGCGCTTACCATGCCTCCCGAAAAGACATGCTGGATGCTTTGGGGATCACGGCGTTAATCAATGTCTCGGCGAACTGCCCCAACCACTTTGAAGGGCACTACCAGTATAAAAGTATCCCGGTGGAGGACAACCACAAGGCAGATATCAGCTCCTGGTTTAATGAGGCGATTGATTTCATAGGTAAATGAGCTCTCTTTACAGTCTGTTCCTTTTCTGGAGTAACGTACCCTGGGCAGTGATTTTCAGGCATTGTTTTCCTCAGTAAAACCTACATTTGAGATTGGGGAATTTCATTCTGTAGGGAAGATATACTTGGGGAACATTTCCATTGATTTTACTCTACTCAGAGGAATAATCTTAGCTTCACAAAGCTGTTTGAAACCTTGAATCAAGAGGCGTTGGTCTTGCAGAAAAGAGCTAGTGAATTTAAGCGGATCAGTATTACAGTAATCTTGCAAGACTGCTGAAATGACCTGGAGGAGCTATTAGTATAATTGGAATTGGAGCCCAGAATGAAAATAGCTAGACTGCTGGTTCCCTCTGGACAAAGGTTCTCTTTGTCTCAAAAGCACTGGGTGCACATATTGGGCTAAGGAAGGGATGAATTAAAGAAATGTAAAACAGCAGTCTGTGCTTTCCCACCTCTGGAAGCAGTGGGACTTTTTTTGCTAACTGTGTGTTTTAATTCTTTCAGACTCTGTTAAAAATGATGGAGGAAGGGTATTTGTGCACTGCCAGGCTGGCATTTCCCGGTCAGCAACCATCTGCCTTGCTTATCTCATGAGGACCAACAGAGTCAAACTGGATGAAGCCTTTGAGTTTGTGAAGCAGAGAAGAAGCATCATCTCCCCAAACTTTAGCTTCATGGGGCAGCTGCTTCAGTTTGAGTCTCAAGTCCTTGCCCCTAACTGCTCAGCAGAAGCTGGTAGCCCTGCTATGTCAGTATTGGACAGAGGAGCATCTACCACCACAGTCTTTAACTTTCCAGTCTCCATCCCTGTTCACACCTCGTCCAGTGCTTTAAGCTACCTTCAGAGCCCCATCACCACTTCCCCGAGCTGCTAAAAAGCGGGTGAAAACATGGTCAGAACTCAAGACTTACTGTCTCAAAGTGCAATAACTATGGGGACAGTGTCATCAGTCATTCGTGTTTTGTGGGGAACCATCTGTGCATCCCAGAACAGTGTCATAAACGGAGAAGAGCTCACCTGATGCCAGACAACTAGATGTTACTGACTCTTCTGCTGACTTCTAAAGCCAGTATCTGGATGTCTACACAGAGATCAAAGGATGCTGTTTCTTCCTGAGCTGTTCCTCCTTGTCTTCTGTCTGTCCTAAGCCTGCTCCATCTTTAGTAGCATGCTCACCAGTACTCCCATTCCTGGACACTCTGAGCAACACTGATGCTGTCCCCTTTTATATGACAGTCCTATTTATTTATTTTTACATTAGTGCATTGTTTTTTGCCTTCAAACCTAAAGTTTCATTTCTAGAGAAACCAAATACCTCAGTATTTTTTGGTACTGTAATCCTGTGTGTTATGTCAGCTTTCCTTGTTTCCCAAGCACTGACGTGAAAGCACCAGGCGAGTGCTTTTTTTGAGTTGCCAAGGGTTGTATGTTTGATTTATTTATGATGTGAAATAATATATTTCTTCTTATGAAGACAGTTTTGTTACATGATTATAACTTTTTTATACAAATAGAATAAATTATGATATTTCTATTGAGCTGAATAATACATTCTTTAAAATCTTGCATTTCACAGTCCCGAAACTTGTGGATGCTCCCAGATGAAGAACTATAAGGAACTCTGCTGACCTCAGGTCTTGACTGAACTAGGTAGAAAAATGGTTTTAAACAACATAATTGACTGGGAACTAGTGCTGCTTCTTAGCATGAGCTTTTCTTTGTCCCTATATAATTATATGCAGTGGCAGAGAGCCAAGGCTGGCTCTCAGCTGTAAAGTGCATTTGACTGTAGTGATGGCCACAGAGCTCTAGCAGTTTGAACCAGCTGAGACTTGGGTTACAGTGAATTTAAAATAGTCCTCTTAGGAAGGAGGAAGATGCTTCCTTAATGCTTGTGTACTTTTAATGCTTCAAAGGTTAAGTCTAAAACTTAACCTGTTGGTAACAGATCTCCAAGGCTTGTGAGTTTGTGCCAAGGTGGCTTCTTTTTCTGTCCCACCTCCTTGATTCCTTTTTGCAACTCAAACTGTCTCTGATCCCTGGAGTGAAGTATTTGGCTTGCTGGGATGTCTCCACATAAATTGGGGTGTAGTGAGATCAGGTAACCAACAGGTCACTTATTTTCTTACCCAGACCCAAATAAATGGTCTCCTGCTGCAGATTGTCACTGGAGTAACTTTTATGTGGCACTTCAGTTGAAGCAACGACAAGAGTTTTATGTAGTGTTACCAAAAGATGGGCAGGGGACTTCTAACAGGCCAGCACCCCTGGCAGCTCTTGGGCAGGGGCTGCAGGATGAGAGTGATGGGCAGAAAACAGTGCAGGGTTAATGCTGTGTGGTGTGGCAGAACTGTGCATCTCTGTGGTACTATAGGGGGAGCAGGGTTGCTGTTCCATGCCCTTACCAGGGGAAGCTGATGTGGAAGAAATGCAGCTGGAAGCTTGCTTTCCTAGGCAGAGTAGTAATACTGGTAACAGGGAGCTGGATGCTGGGGAGCCCTAGGACATCAAGTGTCCTTCATCCACTTCAGAAGGGAGCCACTGGTCCTTTCATCTCTGATGTTCAAGGATTTAGATCCTACTTTTGCCCCATCAAAAATGGTTCTGCTTGGGCAGATAAAGCAGGTTATGATTCTGTGTAAAATCAAGACATTTTAGCAGTTATGATCCTAAGTTTATCAATGAGGGTTTTTTTTTAAGCGTAAAGCAGCTGCTGTCTTGTTGCGTAACTGGAGACAAGCAAAGCACCACAAACTCCTACAAGTTACCCGGAGTATTAATGGTACTAAAATCCAGGACTCTTCTCCTGGAAGAAGGTGCCCTTGAAGGATGGGATGATGCACTGCTGCATCTAAAATTCTTCCACGTGAGCTACCCCTCTGACACAGCTCTGTCGTCAGCGCTACGCATTAACTGTCGCCAAGCTTCAACCTGACACCAAGGGATAAAAAAAGATGGAGCAGCTAAAAGGAGGAGAGATCCCTGGGCACTAAGAAACAAAGTTAGAAACCCTTATTTTCCTAAAGTGTGCACAAACCTCAAAGTGAATATTCCTCTTCAAAATCTGTCCAATCCTGCAAAACCCCTTTGTCCATGGATAGTCCCTTGGCAGGTTGAGCTGCTCCATGAGATTGCACCTACTGCTGCTCTCTCTGTACAGCATGTGAGGCTGTTTCTTAATATGTGAGCATTTTTACACCTACAGCAAACAGTGGAACAAACTTTCACCTTCAAAGCAGAGCTTGTTCAGTGGAAAAATACAACCTTGGCAGCCCTGGCCATGCAACTGATAAAAAAAATCCTGCCTGTTAATCGCAATTCAAACAGAAATCCGTTCCCTGTCAGCCAGGGGAGCTTGTTTATGTGTTTCTTGGAACAATAAAACTCATTACCTGGCAGCCGATCAGCTTTTATAACCTAAGCAGGCACCTGACAGAGGGGCATAAAAGAGAGCTGCTTCAGCACAAAGCCCATTGTGGAAAAGCTGCTCAGCGGCAGCAGGGCTTCGGCCCCAGTGAGGCACCCACGGGCACTTCCAGCTCTGTGGATGTGCGATGTCCTTTTCCAGGTCTTTATTGCGAGCCTTCTGCTGTCAGCCATAATCAGAGTCTCACCATGCCTGGAGCCCAGATTCCTGCAAACTCTCTGCGGACAGGATTGCACTTAGTCCCTGCAAGGGGAGGATAAGGGGGCAAGAACACCAGTGGAAAGTGAGAGAGATCAGAGTGAGACCTGCAAGTGTCACCTCAGTGCCACAGTTTGGGCACACAGATGGGCTCAGCTGGGGGGTTCACTGGGAGCAGGGGGGAAGGAGCGGGGCGGCTGGCGAGGTGGGGGCAGAGGAGGA